TTTTTCTATAATAGTCATTCATTGGTAAAAAATACTTTTTTTTTTCTTTTTAAAAAATTAGAAAGTAAATTCAAATCGATCTTTAATGTATTAGTTAACCTCCCCGAAAGGGTAAAATCGACCACGTAATACGAAAACAATAGATATTCATACTTAAATGAACATATATTTTAATAGAAAGTAGGAGTGTTCATATGACCCGAGAATCCATCAATCAAAATTATAAAAGTTGGGTTTGATTAGGATCTTTATTTTCCGATCTGGGTCGGGGTTGAATTTTTGAAAAACAGTAAAATTTGTGTTGGTTCGTGGGTTGACGGTTTTTTGTCGGGTCAACCCAACTAAACTCGAAAATAGGGTTACAATCCAATTCAACCTAGCTCTACCCTACTACTTTGTAACTGTTAACAGTGATGCGTTGTGAATAATAAAAAAAACAACTAGATAACCTAACTCGTTCGAGTTGCTCGTGTCATTAATCCAACCCGTGTACAACGAAAAGACAAGTTGAAGATTCGAGATGGAAGCATACAAATAATTCTTGTAATTATGATGATGGGTTGATTTGAACGAACGAAAGGAGCTCGGGTTTTGATTGGACGAGATAGGTAGGGAAAATGATTGAGAGATTTTGTAGTCAATTTCAATGATTGAGAGAGAGATCATGTTAGGGGGGAAAAAGAAAAAAAGTGAAAAGTGAAGGACTAGGAAGCAAAAATGAAAAGAATGTGATTATAAAGATATTACCATTCTCTATCACTCTTTCCCTATTTCCAATGATTCATTTAATTACTTTTTATTTTTATTTTTTAATTACTATTATTATTTTTTAATCATTTTATAAATTTAAAATTTAAGTCCTAATAAAATATTATTTTATTGTTCGAGACGTTTTTGCTGTATTTATACAAGAAAAGTTATACTTTTGATTAATTAGTTAAGCGAATCATCAACTTGAATATAGTTCAATTAACTAAAAACTGTACGTTGAATTAAGAAAACGCTCACACGAGTGAGTGAGTTAATTTTAATATTAAACGGGTAATTTTATCATTAAAAATCTTGAATGTGAATATGTGTTCGTTTTTTAAGACTACCCAGATGGGTGTTTTTATAATTGGATGAAACGTTGCTTCTGTAAGTATTGGTTCGGAACACTGACTAAATAGACTCGTGGTTCATCGAGTCAAGGTTAGGTCAAATCTACACACCACGACCAAGCATAGCAAAATCTATAGATTCAGGCGAAGAAGAATAGCTCATAAATCATTGGGTCGAGTTTTTTTTTTAATATTTTTCAGAGACTTCGAGTTTTACCATAACTTTTAATATTAATTTAAAACGTCCCGACATGAATGTAGTAATAGAGTCGTTGTATCTCAACTTTTAGTTTAGATCAAAACATTTCACATCTAAAGGCATCAACTTTTAAAAGGATTATTTAATTATGATTTTAATTTTTTAATTTTTTAATTTTTTTTTTTAATTTCTTCCATCCAATTGACTTCAAATCTTTTCCATTAATAGTGATTTGACTTGCATTCGTGTTCTTCATCACCATAATAACCCAATGATTTCAAATATAATTTAATTTATTAATTTTTTTCGGGTGTAATTATTTTACGTCTAATTTATTCTCTAAATTTTTTATTTATTGTTGTCCCGATAAAAATATGTTCAAATTTAATTAAAAAATATAATTAATCGTTTTTTTTTTTCAAAATCAAGAAATTTTCATATAATACGTCTTCAAATTTAGCTAAAAATATTATATATTTTTGTTAATACGACAAAAGCTCTAATTATGATAATAAGAGCTCGATTTAATGATATTTATATCAGCTGCATAGTTTTAATTTTTTTTTTTCAAATTATTAATTTTTAAAATATTTTAATCAATTAAATTATATCTAAATTGGTGAATTATATATATATTTATTTTTTTATTATTTTTTTTCTTTGTCCATTTTAATTTTTTTAATTCATGTCTTACAAATTATAATGTTTAGTTTAATGGTCAATATTGTTATTTTTTTATTATAATTTTTTAATGAAAAAATATGAGTGTTTTTTATTTACGTAATTAGAGACGTAAAAATAATATAAATTGAAAATTTAAAGAACAAAGTTATTTAATTGAAATAAAATAAATAATAAATAAATGTAATTTTCCCGTTATATAAAAAGAAGAGAACAGCATGACTACTGAGCTGTGCGAATATGCAAAGCTTTAAACGCTCGTCGTCCGTACACTTTAACAACAAATAATCTGACTCCAAAAACCATACCACTGCCCCATTATTATCCAAAATAATAATATTCAAATTAAATCACCGAATCCATCTTTACGGATCTTCTCTTTGAGACAGTGCCCAAATCGTTACCCCTCTCGTGTGGGTCAAAACTTACCCGACAAGCAATTTCGCTTTCTCAACACTGCTATAGTTACAACCGCTATTCACTGGAGTTTCGATCGACAACTCTCCTGTCATTAGGTCACCAACTTTTTTGATCTTTTGGTACTGGGCAAATGTTAGTTCCCATACAAGGTCTTACGGTTTTGCAGAGACCTGTGTTTTTTGGTAAACAATTTCCTCGGTTTGATCACTCCGACCCCTTTTGTAAAAAACCATTTTTACGAAGAATATTTTTCTCCACACTATTCAACGTCTATGGGTTAATAGGTATAAAATACAAATTTATATTTAATAAATTAATTAATTTTTTCAATTGACTTTTGATAGTCGTACTAGACATAAAATTAAAAGTTCAGTGATAAGTAGTGAGCGTGAATATATAGTTCAACTAATTGTGACGCATGTTCCCGACTAAGACAATAGGTTTTTTAATCTCTCGAGTCACGTGTTGTTGAATTAAAAGAAGTGGCGATAGACGACGGGAATCACCGAGGGTAAATTGGTAATTTAACATGACAATCAAAGGAAGGATAAGAGGAAGAGAGAGTCAATGTATGATTTGTAGAATCATTTGGAGTCAGAATTGCAGAGTGATGAAGGGCTCTTCTGACAAATCCCATTTTTAGGCCCACTTTCTATCATTCCCATCCCATCACTACAACTAAATTTAATTTTGTTTTAAACCTAATTTAATAAAAATATTCTTATTTTATCTTTAAAATATTTTAATATTTCTAAACTAAAAAATAAAAAATATTAATTTTAGATAGAATTCATTAATATTTTATTTTTAAAATACTATTAAATTTTTAATAGTTTAATAGTGTTTCAAAATTACGTACATACTTTGTTTCAAATTTTTAAAAATTAGAGGGTATTTTTGTTCCGATTTAAAACTAATTGTGAGGGTATTTGTAAGATTTTTTTTCCTAAGTTTGATTTTGAAAATTTAGAGGTATTCCGAGGCAAAGTAACTTTAAGGGTATTTTTTTTAATTTAGCCTATATTTCAAATAAAGTAATTTTAATATATTTTTGCTCGAGTGATTTAATTAGCATCACTATTGTCAATTATATTTAAAATATTTAGCTCTACGACTTTAAAATTATTTTGATGGAATTAAAAACGTGTTTGAATTATTAATTATATTTACCAAATTTCTAAGAAGAAGAAAAAAAAATTAAAAGATGAAAGATGAATTATTAGAGAGAGAAAAAAAAGTTACTAGTGGTAAAAATTCAAGGGAGAGAGAAAAAGACATCAAAGATGGAGAGAAAAAATATTTTACAGTGAGAAAAAAAAAAGTTGGGAGAGATAGGGACAAATATTTACAGACATATGGTAAAAGAAAATTAGAGAAGACAAAATTTTCGAGAAAAATTAAGGTAAAATAGTAAAAAAGAAAAGAAAATGGATTTGCTTTTAATTTAATTTTTATGGTTTTAAAATTTTCATTTTTATTTATTTGGTCGTAATTTTGCTGAGAATTGGCAGAAGATTGTTTCGACCAATGAGGCTGCTCCACGTGTAAAGAAACAGTGAATTAACTGTCAAAACTTACCTCTTCAACAAAAAAATAAAAATAAAAAATTAATCTTATTTTTATTTGAAATACTAACAAATTTTATGCCCCACATATATAATAATAATTTATTAAACCAAGTATTTTTTTTTTTTTTACAAATCTTTAGGATAAAACTCATCAAAATTACAATACTTTTTAATTTTTAAAATTATAATTATAAGACAAAGTTTAGTGTAAAAAAAATTCTCTAATTCTTAAATAATATAAAAATTTCTTTTTTCAGGTGCCGACTTACCAAACTTACCATAATCCCAAGCAAAAACAATATAACCCTTATTACCAACTATCGAGGTTGTTAGATGAACACGACTCTCCACAATGGTATAATATTGTCCACTTTGATCATAAGCTCTTATGGTATTATTTAATTATATACCCATAATCATTCCCTAAATTAGCCGACGTAGAACTTTCATTCATCAAAGATGTTCATTACTCCTTACTTTTCTAGAATTTATCTAAATTCTATTTTGGTTCATAGACATTTATGAAAAAATCTATTTTAGTTTCACATCCATTGAAATCCTTAAACTTTTTAATTTATTTTATTTCGCGAATAAACATTCAAAAGGTAGAAAATACCTATATATATATATGTTAACAATAGTTAAGCAAGTATTAAATAAATAAATATTAGGCATAACACAACAGCCACGAGAATCCAAATATTAAAACTTAGATTCATAAATCAAAATTGAATTTAAATCTTTAAATAATTGGCTCTTCGACTTTGATTTATGAGTCAACCATTATACAACAAAGCATCGAAGAGATTATACCATGAAGGTCATTTTAGCTTGAAAGTTCCAATTTCATATCCCAATCAAATTCAAAAACAAAATCAGAGTTGAAAAGTATATCATTCATAAAGCAGCATCTTAATACTAACATAGTATATGGTTAATAGATCTCAACAATTGACCCTAATATAGTATCTAGTTAGTAGATATCGATAGTTAACCCTAATATAGCATTTGGTTAGTAGATCTCGACAGTTGACTCTAATATAGTATTTGGTAGATCTCGATAGTTGACCCTTTAGAACACATATATGTTTTAACCAGCTGAGGAGCTACGCTCAAGTTGGTGCCCCGACCCGTTATTCTTAAATGTTGTTGGTTAGGGTAAATAGTGAAGGGAGGTGCCCAAAAGAAGCTATAATTTTCAATCAAAGTCCCCCAAAAGAATAAAATGGCACATGATTACACAGAAAGAACTCAAGCAACAAGATCGTGGAAAGTCATTGGAGAAGGATTATAGAGAACTACTTGCCTCAAAAGTATTGCAAAGTGAACTGTAAAAGGGCACAACTGCAATTCTCCATCCCTTTTCCTTCTTTTCTTCCTGGTTTGTGGAAGCTACTTTTCCCCTGTATTTCACGAATAAGTCCTTAAACTTTTAATTTCATAAAAATTTAACCTTAAATACGGCGACAAAACTAATAACATGAAATAGTTAAGTATCGTTTTTCTCTATTATACGTGTGTATATGACAATCACGAGCTTTACTAGATTGTATTTTTTAAGTGTATAACATGAAATAGTTAAGTATCGTTTTTCTCTATTATACGTGTGTATATGACAATCACGAGCTTTACTAGATTGTATTTTTTAAGTGTATTTGGAAGTGCTTCTAGAATAAATACTTCTAATAAAAGTGTTTGATAAGAACTTGAGTAAAAGTGTTCAATAAAAAATTACTAGGGGGGTTTTCTCGTAAATCACGTTTAGGTGTTATTTACGTCTTTTAAATCATTTTTATATTACTCTCAAACACGATAAGTTTGAAATTTTTTAGAGTAATGTTTGTGGCAAGTCAAAATTACTCGAAAACTATATGAACAACTTTAGTAACATGGCATGAATTTCTAAATGAAGGTAAAGAAGTTTTTATGCAAGAAACAAAACTAGAGGTCACCTAGAGAATCCTACCAAAAGATGAAAGTTCTGATGCAGACATACCTGGAAATAATCTAGTCTTGAGCATGGATGGCATTCGAGCTCCCGAGGTCAGAACGCCCGTACTTTGCTGCTACAAAGCAGTAAACTCCTACGACTCCGCCAAGAACTCCGAGGACCATTGAAAAGAGCTGGAAATTTGCAAGAAATTCACCTCTAACCTCACTATCTTTTGAATGACACATGACCATCATATCGTCCTTGAGCTGACAACCATCAGGCATCATTGGACCATACAGAGTGAAGGCTGTCTGATAAAACCAAAGGCCCTGAAGGGTGATGGCGATGCCGCTGCACACGTCGACTGGAAAGCTGGTAGGCAAAATAGCTCCAGCAACCGTTGACAAAATGCAGAGGCCTATCAAGAGGACAAGGAGAATATGGTAGTAACCTTCAAGGCCTTTATGAGTAGTTGAATGAAAGTAAAACAATAGATACTCAGCGCAGAATGCCGTGGAAGCAATCAGGCAAAGCGCTTCATCTGGTAGGCGAACAAATCTGAATAGAAATAGGTGAGAGTTGAATAATCAGCTCTTTTTCAGAGAAAACTAGTGATTAAGACATAGTACAGGATAAATTGCACATATATTTAGAGACAGAAAATTCACAGCTAAATTCAATATTTGAATATTTCAGGGTCCACAAGGCATTGCTTTCTCCTTTTTTTTTCTTGTTCAACCATCATGTGGGATATGCAAATTAGACATGTCCCCTCCCCTCCTATACATCGGTGAGGGAACGAAACATTCCTTATAACAGTGTGAAAATCTCTCCCTAGTAGACGCGTTTTAAAACCGTGAGGCTGACGGCGATACGTAACAGGCCAAAGCGGACAATATCTACTAGTGGTGGGTTTGAGCCGTTACAAATGGAATCAGAGCTAGGCACCGTGCAATGTGCAGCGAGAACGTTGGCCCCCAAGAAGGGTGGATTGTGAGATCCCACATCAGTTGGAGAAGGAAACGAAGCATTCCTTATAAGGGTGTGGAAACCTCTCCCTAGTAGATACGTTTTAAAACCATAAGGCTGATAGCTATACGTAACGGGCCAAAGCAAACAATTTCTACTAGCGGTGGACTTGGTCTGTTACAACAATGCACTTCAAACTCTGGATTACAAGCTCCTACAAACTGATAGATAGCAGAAATTGGGGAAGAAAATTGTGTCTTTCCAGCGAAGAACAAGAACGGCACAGCTTAAATTATGACATATATACAAGAAACTGCTGTTGCTTTCAATTTAATATCAATTGTTTTCCATACATGTGTGTTCCTAAGATGATTGAATGAAACCTCGGTATTTCTCATCTTAAATCTGACACTTATTCACTTTCCTGATGATCTAAAATAAACAAACTACTCCAAGACCAAGAGAAAAGGCTCGTGAACTTTTAATAAATCAATTCAGGAAAGATATGTCTCTCCGGGGCACGTCTACCTGTTCTTGTCCTTGCGGGTTTAAATTCCTTCCGAAAAGAAAATCCTAATACTTCCCACCATTAATTTGATATCTTACCCAGTAATGACTTATACCCATCTGATCTTAACAAAAGTAATCAAACAGTTTAATGAAGAAGTTAACATTCCAAGATTTTCCTAAACTTTTAAACCAACACTGAATAGAAAATGCTTTGTTCATGAAACAAGAGAGAATTACCTCGACTTTTCAGAGAGCAGCGCGATGAGTCCAAAAATGAAGAACATGAGAAGCATCCCCGAATGTTCAAAGTTGTTCATGTGCGAAGGGTTCAAAACTCCATTAACGAAGAACTTGAGGTGAGTTGAATACAAAAGCTCAATGCACAAATCAATGAAACCCCCAATGACAACAACATAAAGCTCCAAGTATTTGAGTTTTCCATTGAAGCCAGGCACAGGGTTCCACACACGGACGCGAAACAAGTTGGGATTTGACACGTACCGAAGCAGAGCGCTCCACACGTGCCAAACACCAACCAGAAGAAACAGCGTCCCTGGAAGAACATGGCCCTTGAAAGATCCCATATGTTCACAGCGCTTCTACCACTCTATTTCTCCGTCTTCTTCTCTTATACCAGTAAAACATGTTCTGTTTTGCCCCCCAAAAAACACTTCCATTCAGTAAATTAACACAGAAACTTCCTCAAATCTTCTGAATGATTCGTGAAATACTTTGTGAAAGCAAGTACGAGCACCAATAATTCTCGGAAGACACAGCAAGAACACAGAGCATGAAAAGACGAGCATTATTGAAGCTAATAATTGATGAAGAAGACAGAGAAACCTAATGTTTGAACGAAAAATAAGAATCGCTTTAGAATTTGATTCTTCTTCAAAAAGATCGCAAGTCATCCACATATTTGGACAAAATCGAACGATTGAAAGCAACCTCCAATATCTCAACGATGAAAAACGAAAGAAAACAGATCCACAACTGAGAGAAAACGACCAAAAGCAGCACAGAACCCAATCTAATAGCTCAAATAACACAGCAGCCATGGAAAAAGCAGAGACAAGAAAGAGGAAATAGAGAGAGACATTTCGTATTTGAAATGGTGGAAATCAAGTAGAAATGGAAAAACAAGATCGAAAAAACGAAAATGACGACATTATTGAGTGATCATAACAAGTGGAAAGCACTCACGATTTCATAATAAGGTGATTGAGGGCCGATCCCACCATGCGAGGCCTTGTTTGTCACGGAAGAAGCAGCCCTTTTGCGGTCCCCGAAAAAGGCTTTGACGCACCGAAACAGAGAGAGAGAGAGAGAGAGTCGCGTGTGGAAAGTGGCGTTGACGATGGCGGCAAGAGGAGAATCTGATTCCTCTCTGTAAAGCCAGCGGTTGATCAACTTTGTAATGTAAGCCAGCATTTGGATCTTACCCTAATAATTATTCAATTAAAAAAACACTTATTTAAATTATTATAATAATATTTATAAACTTTAAAAATAAATTTTAATGTCATTACTTATAGTATTAATAAATTAAACTAGACAGGGACGGATGAAATGAAAGTTCATATTCTAACGTTAAGAATCGTTCCTAATTTTTTTAAATTTTAAATATATTAAAGCAAATTTAAAAAATTCGAGGGTATTACTAAAAGGAGGTACGAATTTTATGAGTGTAGGTACTGATTGACATGTTTTTTAACTCGTTTGAAAGTTGAAGGGTATTATTGTAATATTTGAAAGTTTACGGATATTATTGATACGAAGTACAAATGTCAACCTGGTCGAGAATATTTTCTATAATTTAGCTTATAGTATATACTAATATGAATACAAATTCTCTCGTTTTTCAATAATTAGTCGGGTAAAATCCAACCATACGCTTCTTTTGGTTAAAAAAGAGTGTCTTATTGATCGAGGTATACGTGTTCATATGCCTAATGCATGCATTACTCGTCAAAAGGTAAGAAAAAAAGGTCGGTAGCTTCACATTTGTGTTTTATTACTGTTAAGTAGAATGTCTACATGGCAAGAATTCAAGTCAAAATGCGGAATCCGGATTTGACACATGATGACTCCGACATTCCCTTGTATCCACTGTAACATGGTCACGTTACTTCTCGTTTCTCAGAGTGAGTACTATCTCTACATACTAACACCAGCTATTCCAATATATGTTGTCATCATTAGCACGCGTATTTTTCATGTTCTTCAAGTCTTTCTTAGTCATTATATTATAAAGATTGCACTCATCCGAATGTAGTATCGGTTCATTCATGTACTCGGACGTCACAATATTGACCCAAACAATTAACAATATGATAAGAAGAAAAAAAAAGTTAAAAAAAACCCTACAAATTATCGGTATTTATTACTTTTTTTTTAATGAAAATTTTGTCGATTTAATAATTTAGTATATAAATAAATATATACGTATATGTTTATATCTTCTTGAAATATAATTATTCAGATGCAAAAAAAAAAATTAAACATGAATTAATTTAGATTAATTGTTATTTATTATAACTATTTTTATTTAATTTTATTTACAATAAGCTAAATAAAAAAATAATTTACACAAAAATAGTAAGAAAATTTATCACGTAAATAAATAGAAAAAAAGGAAGACAAATAAATGAAAAATCATCCGTATTTATTACTTGTTTTCTAAAATTGGTATAATTATTATTTTAATATTTTAATCGATATAACTTTTGTGTTTAGTGTATAAATGGATATTCTTTTTCAAAATAATTAAAACAACGTTGCACGTGCGAGGCACGCTACTAGACGGAAAATATATCTCTTTGCCCAAAATGCCCTTTCCGAGAACTAAACTATTACAAATCTTTGAACATTGAAGGAGGATATTTTGGTCATTTCACATTATTGTGGATTTTTTATCCTGCCGGATTCCTGAGAAAATAAAAAATTATATAAGTTTTGTTCGTGTCTGAGCGGCCCCACCGCAAGCGCAATGGACCTTACGAAGGTAAACCCCCACACCGGTCGCCACCTAGTTTTGAGTCTATTTGGATTTCGTGACGGCGCCAAAGCTCTGTTATTATCACCCACCATCATCTTCGTCACCGCCAAATCACCACCGTACACGTGTTGCTCCTCCTCCCAACACCACTCTTTCACTTACGTGGGTTCCCTCGCCCTTCATTTCATCAGTATCTTTACCCGCGTAATCGTCCGATCTCTCTCTCTCTCTCTCTCTCTCTCTCATCGCCACCACTTCCTAGATGTCGCGGTTTCTCCGATCCCGTTGCTCCGACGGCTCGCCCGATGGACCTACACTTCCTCTCTAAAGTCGATTCTCTTTTGTTTTGTCATTTGAATTTCTTTTTCACTTTAAAGAGAGAATGGTTTGATTTGTTGTCTTTACTGGTAGACTCAAATTGCAAAAGTGAATTTGTGAGGAATTTGGAATTGTGGTTAGAAACTTGAAAGTTCTTGTCCTTGCCATGCCGGACGTCTGAATCTGTGTTTTCGATTATTTGCCTCAGAAATTCTCAGCGTCGCGATGATCGATCAAGTCACTTGAACTCTACTGATGTTGTGGAAGCAAGGAAGCAAGGATTGTTTTCTGAGCTTCCGAGTTTGCGAAACTGTGCATACTCTATTTGATTATTTCAGATATTCATTTTTAGGCCTGTAGGAGGAATTCATCTGGCGCAAATCAAGTTTGTTAAAGGTATGTCGTCGAAGATTGTGTATGAAGGTTGGATGGTGCGGTATGGCCGGCGGAAGATTGGCAGGTCCTTCATTCACATGCGGTATTTTGTGCTTGAATCTCGGTTACTGGCGTATTATAAGAGGAAGCCGCAGGATAATCAAGTAGGTGTTGTGTGATGTAGTTCAGGATTTTCAATTTTTGGTGTTGTGTTTTGTATTTCGAGTGAAGTTGTAGAATCTCCGTATAAGATATAACTATGCACGAATGGCTAAATTGCGTCAAATGCCTGTATCATATCCATCCGCATTCTTACGTTTTTTTTTAAAGAAATGAATTTCTTACGTGCCTGTTTTATGATCTTTCGAGGCAGGTTCCAATTAAGAGCATGCTAGTAGATGGAAACTGTAGAGTGGAGGATCGTGGCTTGAAGACGCACAATGGACATGTCAGTTGTTATTTCTATTTCTATTTCCATTTTTCTCTCTTTAACAATATGTTTGTCTTGTGATTGCGAGGATGAAAGCTATTTATTTGCTTTAGCTGAACTAAACAGTTTATTTAAGACTTCGAATGTAGCCAACTTACCTGTTACACTTAAGTTATTTTTTGTTGCAACAACTAGACTCTACTGCAAAGGCAGAATTGGCTGCAACCGAGGACTAAATATCTTAGTTGTTTTTGTATCTTCTTGCGGGAAGGAGGTTGCAATTGTTTGTAGTTTGGACTCCTTAACGAGTGAACTATTCTATAGTGGATTTGTTCATAACTCAGGATCATGATGCTCAGAAAGTCCACAGTGCCACCAAGAGAGAGAGAGAGAGAGCATCCTGACGATGCATTAACCTTTTTCCACTGGTTGAGGTTCCTGTTCGTGTGTCTTTGACTCTTTGATAATTGATACGTATATCGTACAATGCATTTTCAATTCTAATTATTTAAGGCAGAATACAACGCCAAGTTAAGGCAGAAAGAAACCAAGCATTTATAATATTTTCCGGTGAATGAAGCCAAGTTTTGGCCACCTCTTCTTATTGCTGGTATGGCCTGGCAGTTTAGTTTGCCTTTTTGGGCTTTTAGCGTCAGAAAATCCTGGGATATAATAACTTTCCCGCTGAAGTAGATATCTAACCACTCTAGTCCGCGAGACTATGTTCAATTTTCAATTCCATGTACAACTAGATGATCTTGCAAATAATCATGCCTTCCCAGTTCCAATTTTCAATTACTAACATACATACTTAAGCCTGTTGGATGAGTTAGTGATAAATATGTGTATCTCGTATCAGATCATCAGCCATTAGGATTGTGATTTCACGGTTCTGAATTTTTCACCTTCTTAATTTGGTATTTCGTTTAGTGTGAATAATGGTTCTAACACTCCTTCATTGTATATTACTTTAACGATCCATTTCAATTCCTATTTTTGATGTTGTAGATGGTTTACGTCTTGTCTGTTTACAACAAGAAAGAGAAGTACCATCGAATTACGGTTTGTTCCTACTTCCAATGACTTGATTGATGAAGATTGTATGATTTTTGCCCATCGTCTTATCTTCACATTGATAATCTACGTATGAATAATTTATGCTACTGGTTTCTCTCATTCTTTATTTGGATCAATTTCAATTATTAATCGTTATTTCGTAGATAGGGGAGGGTTGGTATATCATAATTTTATTCAGAATTCAATAATTTTAACAAGTTGCACAGTAATTTTTTAGGCTTCCCGTTTTCTCTGTTTTTTCATAGTTTATTTTTTGCATATGAGGAAATTTTGTTGGACTGGACATACTATGGATGCCCTGCTTCATCACATGTTTTTTTCAATAGTCAAAACCTTGATGGGTGCACTGATTTTAATCAGCATTTGCTTTGCAGATGGCGGCCTTCAATATCCAAGAAGCACTACTATGGAAGGAGAAAATAGAGCTTGTCATTGATCTGGTAGTATTCGAATTTCCTTTACTCGTTTTTCAACATTAACTCGGTGGAGTGCATTGTAAGTTTATTGTCATAGAGTTTTTGGCTTTTAATCTTCTCATATATGAATGAAAAGTTATTGTTTCCTATAAAAAGAATATCGTTAATAATGAAGAACGTACCAGTACTGAACAGTTATTCTAATCTTTTTATTAAGAATATCGTCCAATATTATTTTCTATCATGTCCTGGATATTACCTTAATGCCATATCAGGTTGGAGTATGTTGAAATCCAAGCGGATGTCTATTGCTTATTTTATTTTAGTTCTTATAATGGGTTCTTTGTCTTTTTTGGGCATGGTTTTCTTCATATCCATCATTTGCCCTCCGATTAAACATTTATGTTAGTTATTTATTTATTTATTACTGTATCTCATGAATTAATGAATCTAATCTCATTTGCATGTGGAAATGTCAGCACCAAGGCTCACAACTTCCTAATGGGAACAAATTTATATCATTTGAGTATAAATCTGGGATGGATAATGGGAGGACTGCTTCCTCCTCAGATCATGAAAGTCAGTGAGTACATTTTCCCTCAATTTGTATCCAAGAATTTGTAAAATGATTTACCTGGAGATGCTGTAATTAGGGTACTTATGTTCTGTACTTTTAGCATTCATCACAACACCCCCCCCCCCCCCCCCCCCC